TTACTCACTGAGCTAGCGACTCATTTCCCGCTAATTTTTTTTACAGAGACAACAGTTGGCGCAGGCGAGGATTTCGTTAATTAGAACGCACAGGTTGATAGTTCTCGGTGAGCCTCGCACTTGTTCGCGTGGGCAGAGATTTTATTTATTGTTATGGTCGTTTCTTTGAATTCTTAGAGTCGCTCCATAGTCATTAATGTCATGAGTATTATTTTGCTATTAGTTTTATGTCGAGTATCGTTCTTTATTATCAAAGTCGGAGATAAATTAGTATTTCTGGTTGTTAGTGGGTTGATTAGTAATGGTAAAGACTATTTTGGTTAATTGATAAGTTGTCGATTGTTTGAATTACTATTAGGATGTTTGGTTGCTGATTTGAGACAGGAAAATTTTTTGGGATAGTCTAAAAATAAGGGAACTCTGTCCGATTTTCTGTAAAATACCGATGAGGCTTACTTGGGAGCATTTGCTCCTACGGGCCGGTCACGATCCTAAATTGGGTCGTGACAAAGTTAGTATCAGAGCTTAGGCTTTAAGTCCCGAGTCATGGAGCAATATTTAGTAGAGTCTTGTTCATGGGTATGTAGGCGCCCATACTTATGATCTTGAGGCTACTGAACATCTAGGAATATTTTCTCTTCTTTCATTCTTTGATCGTGCATTGAGATAACTTGAGATTGACTTTGGAATATTTCTTTCGCAGATGGCTAGGACACGCACACCCTCATCTGCTGGACATAGTGTTGGACGTGGTGCTACCTGGGGTGGCGGTCAAATTGGGGTTCATCAAACTAGAAGACGGACTGCTCCTCAACCCCAAGTTGGGAACATGGGTCAAACCCAAGCTGTTATGCCAGATCAAGTGCAAGAGCAGGGAGTTCAGAACACTCCACCACTAGTGCCAACTGTTGTACCTACTGTTGCCTTACCTGCAGATGCAGTAACAAGGTTATTGAATGTGTTAGAGGCATTGGTTCCTACTTAGGGCGGAAGTTCAGCTCCTCAGGCTACCTTACAGATACAAGCACCTACACAGACTCAGCCTTTCGGGAATAAGGAAGTATCCCTACACGAGTCCCTAAAATTGAAATCACGAAAATTCATAGGTTCCGATAATTCAGCAGATCCTCAAAGTTTTTTGGATGGGACAATCAAGGCATTACGTGCTCTTGGGTGTTCTAGTGAGAGAGTCGTGGAGCTCGTAACATACAAACTAGAAGATATGGCCAACACATGGTATGAAACGATATTGCTAGGAAGGCCAGCAGGAGCACCACCACTGACATAGGACGAGTTCACTAAGTTGTTCAAGAATCATTTTCTTCCAGACAGTCTAATGCAACAATATGCTAGAGACTTTGAGAGATTGGTTCAGACTCCATATATGGATGTCAACATATAACAGTAAGTTCTGTAAGCTGGCTATATATGCTCCTCACTTAATGCCTACCGAAGAAGCTCGAGTTCAGAGGTTTGTTGATGGATTGGTTGGTCATGTATACACTGCAGTAGCCCCACAGATGAAGACTTTATCCTACTCTGATGTAGTCGACCTTGCTAGAAAGATTGAAAACAAGAGACGTGAGGAGCGTGCAGCTAGTGATTTACGTAAGAAAGCCAAGACAGGAGAGGCTTTCAGTGGTGATTTTAGTGAAAATAGAAGAGCAGGAAATCAAGGAAAATAACAATAGGGTTCTCAGACAAGGACACACATGACTTCAGAGTCCACATACAGACCACATTACAAACAAGGTAATAGGGGACCATCATCTTCTGGACATCGTAATTCTTGGCAAATTTATGCCACTACTCCAGTCTGCCAGACTTGTGGTAGATCACATTTGGGCCAATGTCGTATTCTAACTGGAGAGTGCTTTCGGTGTGGCCAGTTGGGACATCACTTGAGGGATTGCCCTCAGCCTCCGAGAAATTTCAACCAGGCTTCTATTCAGTCAGTTGCACCGACTCAGACTACTCGTAATACTTTAGGTGCTACCGGTACAGGAAATAGAGGTCGAGGTGCTGGAAACCGTGCTACTGTGAATCAAGGACAAGGCAATGCTGGTAAAGGTCAGGCGAGAGTTTTTGCATTTACTAGACAGGATGCTCAGGCCTCGAATGCAGTGGTTACAGGTATTCTTTCTGTCTATTCATTTGATGCACTTGTGTTGATTGATCCGGGATCTACTCTCTCCTATGTGTCCTCGTACTTTGCTTTGAGATTTAGTAGACAACCCGAGTTATTGAATGATCCTTTTCTAGTTGCTACTCCTGTTGGAGAGTCTTTGTTAGCTGAATACGTGTATCGTGCTTGTCAGATTCGAGTTGAGGGTAGGGATACTCTAGCTGACCTTATTGTACTTGGTATGATTGACTTTGACGTGCTGATGGGAATGGATTGGTTATCTTCTTGCTATGCTATAGTCGATTGTCATGCAAAGATAATTAAGTTTGAGATACCAAATGAACCTAGTTTTATTTTAAGAGGGAGTCAGGTTCCAGAGACTTGCAAAATTATATCTTTTATGAAGGCTCAACGACTTCAGAAGAAAGGTTGCTTGGGTCTCTTAGCTATTATAAATGATACAAGAAAGGAAACAGTTAGTATAGAAAATTTACCAATAGTGAGAGAATTTTCTGATGTATTTCCTGAGGATTTACCAGGATTGCCTCCAGTATGAGACATAGACTTTAGTATTTATTTACTACCTGACACACAACCCATATCGATATCCCCATATCGAATGGCACCAGCAGAGTTGAGGGAGCTAAAGCTACAGTTACAGGATTTGTTAGATAAGGGTTTTATTAGACCTAGTGTATCACCATGGGGTGCACCAGTACTGTTTGTAAAGAAGAAAGACGGATCCCTGAGAATGTGCATTGACTACAGGCGGTTGAACAAGATAACAATACACAATAAATATCTTTTGCCTCGTATAAATGACATGTTTGATCAGTTACAAGGAGCTGCCCACTTTTCAAAGATTGACCTCCGTTCTGGTTATCATAAACTTAGAATCAAAGATGAAGATATTTCTAAGACTGCTTTCAGAACTCGATACGGGCACTATGAGTATCTTGTGATGCCTTTCGGACTGACAAATGCTCCAGCTGCATTCATGGATTTAATGAATAGGGTGTTCAAACCATTTCTGGATAGATTTGTAATAGTATTGATTGATGATATCCTGATATATTCTCGTAGCCAAGGAGAACACGAGAATTATCTCAGGACTGTGTTGCAGACATTGCGAGAACATCGACTTTATGCTAAGTTCTCGAAGTGTGAATTCTGTCTAGACTCGATATCGTTTTTGGGACATGTTGTATCCAAATATGAATTATGGTAGATCCTAAGCAGACCAAAGCTGTGCAGAAATGGCCCAGACCTACTTCTCCTACAGAGATTCGCAGCTTTTTAGCTTAGCAAGCTATTACAGGCGTTTTGTGCAGGACTTCTCCAGAATAGCAGCGCCGCTGACCAAGCAAACACAAAAAAATGCAAAGTTTCAGTGGATGGAGGAATGTGAGCAAAGCTTTCAGAAGCTCAAAACGTGTCTGACAACTGCACCAATATTAGCCTTACCATCAGGTTCTGGAGGATTTTAGTATTCCGTGACACCTCGAGGGTGGGATTAGGATGTGTACTCATGCAAAATGGTCGTGCTATTGCTTATGTTTCGAGACAATTGAAAAAGCACAAGCAAAACTATCTTACACATGATTTGGAGATGACTGCAGTGGTATTTGCTCTAAAAATTTGGAGATGATCTATACGGCGAAACTTGTGAGATTTATACTGACCATAAAAGTCTGAAGTATATCTTTCAGCGGAGAGATCTAAATCTCCGGCAGCGTCGTTGGATGGAACTACTCAAAGACTATGATTGTTCTATTTTATATCATCCTAGAAAAGCCAATGTGGTGGCTGATGCATTGAGCAGAAAATCTATGGGAAGTTTGGCACATATAGCCCCTACAAAGAGACTTTTGGCCAAAGATATTCAGAGACTAGAATATACAGGTATCATGTTTAGTGTCGGAAATTCAGAGGCATTGTTGGCTTGTGCTCAGGCTAAGTCTTCGTTAGTTGAGCGTATTAAGGCCATCCAATATGAGGATGAACGATTATGCAAATACAGGGATGAGGCCTTAGCTGGTAAAAGCAAGGATATGATTGTTGAAAATTATGGTGTTCTTCGAATGGGTGACAGGCTATGTGTAGCAGACGTAGATGGGTTGAGACATGCTATTCTTAAAGAAGCTCACAACACTAAATCACTATACATCCTGGATCCATAAAAATGTACCATGACCTGAAGCAATTTTATTGGTGGGAAGGTATGAAGAAAGATGTTGCTAACTTTGTTTCTAGTTGTTTGACTTGTCAGCAGGTCAAGGCTGAGCATCAACGACCCGCAGGACTACTACAACAAATTGAGATTTCAGAGTGGAAATAGAAAAAAATTACTATGGATTTTGTCACCAGGCTACCACAAACCTTTAGAGGTTATGACTCGGTATGGGTGATTGTAGATCGACTAACGAAATCAGCACACTTTTTGCTGGTGAAGACTACATATGGTGGAGTCAGGTAAGCACAGATATTTATGAATGAAATTGTCCGACTTCACGGAGTTCAAATATCCATCATCTCTAATAGAAAATCACAATTTACCTCACGTTTTTGGAAATCTTTTCAAGAAGCATTGGGTACGCGAGTAGATCTTAGTACTGCATTTCATCCACAGATAGATGGGCAGTCTGAACGTACTATACAGATCTTGGATGATATGTTAAGAGCTTGCATTCTTGAGTTTGTTGGTAGTTGGGACACGTATCTACCGTTAGCTGAATTTTCTTACAACAATAGCTGCCAATCCAGTATTCAAATGGCACCGTACGAAGCATTGTATGGTAGAAGATGTTGTTCTCCTATCGGATGGTTTGAAGCTGGTGAGACTAATTTATTGGGACCCGACCTAGTACAAGAAGCTATGGACAAGGTCCAGTTGATCAGACAGAGATTGCTTACAGCTCAAAGTAGACAAAAGTCTTATGCTGATAAGAGAAGAAGAGATTTAGTGTTCACAATTGGGGACAAAGTATTCCTACGAGTCTCCCTTATGAAAGGTGTGATGCTGTTTGGGAAAAGAGGTAAGTTGAGCCCCAGGTTTATAGGACCGTATGAGATACTAGACCGAGTGGGAGTTGTGGCTTATCGTTTGACACTTCCTCCTGAGTTGTCCTTTATTCATCCAGTGTTTCACGTCTTAATGCTAAGAAAATGTATATCAGACTCATCTCAGATGATTGAAGCACCGACTATACCACTCGATAAGAGGTTGTCTTACGAGGAGGAGCCAATGGTTATTGTTGATAAACAAATAAGAAAACTATGGTCAAAAGAAATCGTGTTCGTGAAAGTCTTATGGATAAATCATACAGTTGAAGAAGCTACTTGGGAAATAGAAGATACTATGCGAGTCAAGTACCCCCAATTGTTTCAGTCTACAGGTACGTACTTGAGATAAATTTGGGGACCGAATTTCATAAGGTGAGAAGGATGTAATACCCTATATATTTTTAATAAGGGTGTATTAGTGATAATAATAATAATAATAATAATAATAATAATAATAATAATAATAATAATAATAATAATAATAATAACTATAAGAAAGTAACTTAAAAAAATTTAAATTAATAAAAAAAAGAGAACAAAACATTAGGAGAATGGGCTAAGCCCACTAAAAAGTGAAACGAGAAAAGGGGAAACAAAAAAGAATTAAAAAAAAATACAAAAGCTAAAGGGATTTTGGGGGGAAAGGAACGCAACATATATGCTGCAATTGAAACAGAAGCTAAAAAGTGTTGAAAAAGAGAAAACCCCTTTAGCCAACGCAAGCATCAACGGGAAAAAGAAAGAAAAAAGTTTCCGGTGTACTCGTGGTGCCGAATACCGTGTTTCACCATATTATCGACATAAATTCTTGAGCTTCAACAATAAACTCCGGGTGATTTTCTGTAATTTTTTCTTCTTTTGAGACAATATTATTTTATATTCATGATTCTTTTGGGATTGAGTAGAGATGATGTTGGGATTGGATTAAAGTTTAAAGATAAAATTAAGAAAATTGGGAGAAACCCATAAAAAATTTTCAGATATTAACGGAGTATATTATATAAATAGGTTGTATTTGGTTGAATTTTAGAATTTGGTTTAAACTACCAGTAGCACGAGAAAGTATAAATCGACAAATTAAGAGTCCAAAAAAAATCTCTGAGGGTTGGGCATTCTAAATTAGCTACGAATTAGCCTAAACAAGAATATTAACACGAGATTGATGTTGGTGTGGTTATAGATTGATTGAAGAAAGTCGTACGGATCGCTCGAAGTGACGAGTTTGGTATTTCGACACGAGTACTGTGAGTAGTAATCTTACCGCAATTTGTGTTTTCATAACTTGCATGATTTACACATGATTTTTTTAATATGAATATGTTACCGATTATTTTGAGTTGCCTGTGGGACAAGTCTTTTACTCGATATGATACCGAAATAGTTATTTGAGATGGTTACCGTGGTTTTAAATATTTCCACTGTCACTAGATCTGTTTTACTGTTACTTGAATTTACTGTTATCGAAATGAAATTATATGATTTGATAAGAACTGAAATGCCCTATATAGATTTAAAGGATTTTATATGAGTATATACGGATTACAGACACAAGTATAAATGGGAGTAGACATTGAAGGATCCCGTAGCTAACGGCGGGTTCGTTAGACCTGGTGCACCTTGTAATTACAGATTACCGTTATAGCCCTTGCTAGTGGAAAGGTGGAACTAGCATACTGTTACCGATTTCCCTCGAGTAGGGACTACCATTATATTTGACTTCTTGCGAAGAAGTCCACAGTTATACCGATTACATGATCCGTTCATTGAAACCTCCCAAATGTGAATATTGATATTAGACAGTGGTTACCGAGCTTATTACCGAACTGTTAATTGTATTACACTACAAGAAAAACATGACGAGACTGAAAATTATTTATTGTTTCTAAAAGGGCATTTTTATGTTATTTTCTGTTTGATATACTAGCATGTTTTCTGACTTGTCCCCAATAAAAACGGTTGTGGTTAAGTGTTATTACTCACTGAGCTAGCGACTCATTCCCCGTTAATTTTTTCTTCAGAGACAGCAGTTGGCGCAGGCAAGGATTTCGTTAATTAGAACGCGCAGGTTGATAGTTCTCGGTGAGCCTCGCACTTGTTCGCGTGGGCAGAGATTTTATTTATTGTTATGGTCTTTTCTTTGAATTCTTAGAGGCGCTCTATAGTCATTCTTTTAGTGTCATGAGTATTATTTTGCTATTAGTCTTATGTCGAGTATCGTTCTTTATTATCAAAGTCGGAGATAAATTAGTATTTCTGGTTGTTAGTGGGTTCATTAGTAATGGTAAAGACGATTTTGGTTAATTGATAAGCTGTCGATTGTTCGAATTGCTATTAAGATGTTTGGTTGCTGATTTGAGATAGGGAAATTTTTTGGGATAGTCCAAAAACAGGGAAAACTCTGTCCGATGTTCTGTAAAATACCGATGAGGCTTACTTGGGAGCACTTGCTCCTAAGGGCCGGTCACGATCCTAAATTGGGTTGTGACAACAGTGATGATTCGCAAGTCTTCCGCATAGCAAGAAGTCATCATCTCCAAGGGGTGAGCCTCAAGTTTTCCATCCTCCACGTTTGTGATCAAAGCCTAGCTCTGCATTCGTGGTCAAATCCCAACAACAAGTGGTCCATCAATTCAAGAACAAGCGAAGCTCTTGAATTGACGGTCGTGAGGAGAAGAATTAGAGGATTAAATCTTTTAAACTTAAGATTGTTCAAAGATTGTAGCCCGCGTAAATTATTTAAATACAAATACTTTTTTTTGTCGCTATATTTCTTGTCTTGATTATCATTTTCAGGAATGAAATTTTAGTTGTTACAAATTTTGGTACACCCAGTGGGACTATCTTTGCCTCTCATCTCTTCTCTCCAACAATCAAAATCCAAGAACGCTAAAATGACTTCAAAGAAAATCAACTCCGGTTCAACTTCCACCAAGGCTGCTAACTCCAGGTTCTATGCTGATGTGGAAAGCATCCTCGATATTACCTTTGGAAGCTTCGGACCAGCTATAAGGAGCAAAGCAAGCTCTTTAGGACACCAAGCACCCCAAGTATCGTCCGCGTCAACCCCTGTTTTCGGATCTTCATCCTCAAAAGGAGCAAGATCTTCCACAAACGCATCTGAAGGAAGAAGCGATGTTGCTGAAAAGATCAAGAAAACTCTTGCTTTGCTTAACCTCTTCGGATACAAGCACTCTGCTGTGAAGGAAGATGATGATGCTTCAAGTGATGGATTCTCCCCACTTACACCACATAGCGTGAGCCGATCAAGGATCAATCTGTATGAAAATCATGCTACTCTCTGTCGTCCACGACAATCATACAAGCCATGGTGATAAATATTTCATTTGTGGAGGAGCAGTTGGCAAACTTGACGGAAGTAATCACTGGCTTGACCAAATGCATGCAAAATCAAGAGGCTAGAATCGACAAGCTAACAGACAGGGTGAGAATCTTGATAGAAGAAGAATCCACCCATGCACCCGGCAAGCTCCCAGAAGTTCTAGAGAATGACTCTAACCCAAGACAAGCAGCATCCACTAAGGCTATCCCTGTCTCATCTGAAGGAATGATTCCAATCGATCAACTGAAGGAGTTCATTGAAGGAACCATTAAGAACAAATATGAAGTTGCTGCCAAATCCTCCCTTACATATGCAAAGTCGTACACTGCAAGGGTCGATATGTTAAAGATGCCTGCTGGCTATCAACCTCCAAAGTTTCAACAGTTTGATGGTAAAGGTAACCCCAAGAAACATGTTGCGCACTTCGTGGAGACGTGCAACAATGCTGGGACTTATGGAGATTACCTTATCAAGCAGTTTGTCCGCTCGTTAAAAGGAAATTCTTTTGACTGGTACACAGACCTCGAGGCTGGATCTATCGATAGCTGAGATCAACTAGAACAAGAGTTCCTCAATCGTTTTTATAGTACGAGACGTAGTGAGTATGATAGAACTTACAAATACTCGTCAACGAAAGGGGAAACCAGTTATCAACTTTATCAATCGTTGAAGGAATGCAAGCCTCAGCTGCAAAGACAGGCTTAGTGAAGCTTCAGGCATAGAGATGTGCATCCAAGGCATGCATTGGGGATTGCGCTACATCTTGCAAGGTATCAAGCCTGGCACATTTGAAGAACTTGCAACTCGTTCCCATGACATGGAATTGAGCATGGCCTCCGCTGGAAATGAAAGGCTGCCCATCTATGAATCTCGCAAATGGAATGACAAGCAAGAAGTCAGGAAGTGGGGCAAGTTCGTACCCAAGTCTGAAAGCAAAGAAGCTATGAATGTCAACATGTCACCTGTGAAGTTCACGACGAAGGTGAGCAAGAAGCAGAGTATGAAATCCACTTCTTTTCAAGATAAGCCAAGTAGAAAGTTGACTCTAAAAGAAATGCAGGAGAAAGAGTACCCATTCCTGGATTCTGATGTGCTAGCCATTTTCGAAGAACTCCTCGAGTTAAATCTCATTGAGCTTCCGGAGATGAAGCGACCAAATTAAGCTGGGAAAACAAATAACCCAAATTACTGCAAATATCACTAACTTGTAAGCCACCCTCTGGAGAAGTGCTTTGTCTTCATGGACTTGGCTCGCGAAAAGAAAATCGTGCTTGAAGGTGAGAAAGCAGGCGCAAACCAAGTCTCTATCACCTTTGGCTCATTCAGTCTGGATGACTTATATGGTTTTAAAGAAAGTAAAGATGAAGAATTACTAGAGAGCGACAAAACTGAAGTCAATCAACCTAATGATGATGAAGGTTGGACATTAGTGACTCGCCGTAGGCACCACAAAAGGAGCCTACGAAAAGAATCAATAGAACAACCAACAAAGAAAATGATGGTGAAAAGACTAAGGATACGGAATCCAGTTAAATATTTGAAGAAAGCAAAAGTGGAGGTGCACCATCCTCAAAAGCTACGACATCTAGTGACCTTGGAGGAGTTCTTACCAAGTTGGTTCCGCACGAAGATTTCCCATGAGGGTATTGAGGCCTCTTGTTGCAACGCTGATAAAGGGGAAGAAAAGAGTGATGTCCTACCGTTGGCACCATCTTTAGAAAAGCTCATCGAGTCCACTCCTCAAGAAGTTAATGCTTGTGAGGAAAAAGTCACATTCACAAATGATGATTTTCTGCTAGGTGACACTCTTCATAATCGCCCATTGTACCTGATTGGCTATATGCGTGATGAAAAGGTAAATCAAATTTTGGTTGATGGAGGATCCTCAGTGAACATTTTGCCAATTCGCACTGTGAAAGAACTTGGTATTCCCATGAACGAACTCTCAGAAAGTCGTGTGATGATCCAAGGATTCAACCAAGGGGGCAAAGAGCCATTGGCGCGATCAG